CATTTGGGGCCGCTAACCTCTGTCGGTATTCCTCAGAGAGTGGCTGAAATTCCACAGTCCTGTGCTGGAGTCCAGCCATCTTCCATCTTTCACTTTCCACCAAGCGGCATGCCGTTTACCGATCTCGGAGGGTCAATGACGACGAGCGGAGTTCATTCCAAACCCCTTCATCACTTCGACTGCCGCCGTCGCGACCATCGCCAGCACCTCTTCCGCTTATTTTTCGAGCGAACTCATTCCGAGAACATTATCTGTAAGCCCCTTTGTGTCCGCGTCGTCGTGCTTATTACTTGCCGGGTGACATTAAGTCCCACAAAGGCAGGTTTGCGCTGGGGTTTCTCTCGCTGAGATGCAGCGCAATGCTCAGCTTCGTGAGCCAATTCTGCGGAATGTGCGCACAGCGCAGGAGCCGCGAATAAATGTTGTCCTACGTCCCAAAACGTCGTAAAAGTGAATATTGGTCGACGTCTGCTTCGCCAGATTGGTAAACAGGTACGAAGAGGATAAGCAGGAACATCTGGTGTAGGTGCACTTGCCTGGGTGAGGATTCAGCAGCACACCGATCCAGTTTTGTTAACAGTTCCGTGAGCTAATTTCGGGCTGAGTAGACCTAGAGGAGATGACCGCCACGTTGCAGAAGCTGAGACGGGGGCATAACATCGACCTTTTCTCGAACTCTTTCCCTCGTTCCACTTCGTTGAGCCCACAAAAAACACAGCTGTGTGTAGATGTCGCAGTAAATTAAATTATCCTCCGTGGAGAAGGCGTAAAATGACCTGTTTGTGCATGAAAGCATTTTCGATCCCCCAGCTCCCAAGTGGGCAACAGTGCCATCGTGAACTTCGTGGTTGAGATGCCCCAGAGCAGGAGAGCAAAAAATTAAATGTATGCTCATTCGAAAGCAGTTTCACACACACACACACACGCCCTGCCCTTTAAAGTACACTACTCGTGCATGGGAAAAGGTCATTGTGACTCGACGATTTATATTTTGAACGGCGTTTGCTGTTTTTTTTTTTCCTCCAATTTATTATTGCAATTGTGCTATCGCCGTCATGCTATACGACATGGAGATATTTCCACTTGGAGTTATTGCGCTGAGCACCACCGCCTCGTGTCAAAGAACTTTTATTAATTTTAATTTTTCACCTACGTGACTTTACCGACAAAACCTAAGAATATGAATCCTTGCAGTCACGAAAGCTTCAAATCTAGAAGTCTCAGAACAATGCGCAACTCCAAGGTTATCCCAACACAGTCTGATCTCCGATAGCGCGGTAGTTTTTTGCCTTCCTGAAGAACACCGCGTTCTGTAAAGATCTAAAAATAATGAATAAAATATTACGTAGGGCACAGCACAGTCCGCGATATCACGAGGAGATGCGCACGCAGGCTGAACAAAGACTGGGGCGCGTTGGTAGCGTCTAGAAGCATCCAACAGCATCCCGTCTCGTGCGATGATGCCGTACGACCGCTTATTCCTACTCGTGCGACGTAGTTCTGTTCGCTCAGTCGCGTTATATCCAATTCGCATCCGCGTTATGAAAAAATGTGTCCCCTAATACATTCATCGCGTTATCAAATTCGCGTTATGAAAGCACGCGGCATAGGAGAACCGACTGTAATTATTTGCCACTCGTAAGACCATATTTTACTTTCATCTCAAGAGGCTAATTTTGTGAACGCAATGGCTCCAAATATTACAGAGGGGAGTGTTAAAAGATTTTAATAAGGTGTATTGCGATTGATCGGGAGGTGCGCAGAGATTTTGGAATGAAATGTATTCTCTCAAGATTCTCTCCTGTTATTTTCGTGGCGAATATATTAAATTCCTTGTGCCAGGGCCCATGCCAACCACACAATGTTTGTTTAAGATGTTAGTCAAATATTCATGTTCTGCATTCCTACGAGAGATGATTACCTCGCCTGGTATGCAGGAGGTCGTGGGTTCGATCCCGATCCTCACGCCTGCTGTATATTTGGAGTTTGCACGTGGCGAGGAGATGTTAACTACCTCGCCTGGTATACTGGAGGTCGTGGGTTCGATCCCGACCCTGACGCCTGCTGTATATTTAGAGTTTGCGTGTCTTACTCCCCGTGGTCGTTTGGATTTTTCTCTGGGTCCTCCGTTTTTTTCCTCTACATTTAGAACCAACATGCGTTTAAGAGTATTTGGCTTCTAGAAATGCCCACGTGATAAGCCACATGTTTGAGCTATCAATTGTAGCCGGATCGGTTATGAAAAAGAGTTACATAGCTCAGTGAGCTTTACCTGGTAAAATAATAATTTAGGTTATTACACCAGGTTCGGTTGAATCTCAATTTTACAGTTGAAACAGTGGGGCAAATATTACAAATCCCACCCTTCTTCCAGCTCTGCCCACCCAGAAGTATAAATGGGTACAACACAGTTAGTCCATCAGCTGGTCACGTGTGTGCAAAAGTAGGCCAAAGTACCACACACACCGTTATAACGACTCTCTGTAGAGTCCCCTGCAGTGGAGGCGCCTTCTGCCAACAGTGCCGTGAGCAAGCAATTGCAGGGCTGCACCTTTAGCTGTTTTTACCCCTTTTGCTTTCCGCACACCGCTGCCAGCACGCGACTGTGCCCTGTGCTTTGAGCCCGAATCCATTTTAATTCGCATTGAATGACCCACCGACGTTTCTCTCACATTGCTGCTGGGCCGCTCCTCAAAAGCCTCACGCCAGGGCCGGGTCAAGGCACGGGGGCTCTTGTAGGGGCTGCAGCCCATGGGCTTCCAGAGATGAAGTGAAAAGTTATTTCGTTTGTGAATGCTGAATTTTATTTGTTGTTAGCCTTGTAAAAATTTTGTTTTCCTTTTTTTTTGGTTCTTTCGGGAAAGTCACGTAGAATGGAAATAATAAAATAATAAAAATAGAACATAATAAAATAATTCTCACGACGTTTCGGCCACAACGCAAGCAGCCGTCCTCGGGTGGAGAACAGGTCTGTCGAGAAGACAGAGTCTGAATGATTTATTATGTTTTATTTTTATCATTTTATTATTTCCATTCTACGTGACTTTACCGAAAGAACCAAGAAGATGAATCCCTGCAGTCACGAAAGCTTTAAATCGAAATTCGTTTTCCTTTTGAAAATATTACTGGGGGGCCTCACAATACCTGGAGCTCAGAGGCTTTCAAAATCTTCATCCTACCCTGCCTCTCACCCCTTGGGAGCCGGGCAGCACGGAGCGAAGCGGAGCCGGGAGCGTGCACGGGACGCCGACTGGATTTTTTTTTTTCACTTGAACTGTGCGGTTCGGGTTAAGGGATATTACAGTTGAGCTCGTAAGAGGCCTTCGACACAAAGTAGGTTACACTGAGTCTCTTGTTACTCACCCACCCACTTTCTCTCGCACCCATTCGCTCTCTGGCCAAAGCCTCCAGGCATCTTCTTGGAGATCCATACGATCTTGCCCTGATGTACATGATGTACATTCTGATTTTAAGGCATCCCAGAGTGCCTGAAGGGGTACATTTTGATGCATAATTAATTGTCATTCTTTTCTTACGTGGTGTATGTGTGCTGGCTTTTTTGTGTGTGTGCTGCTGTATGCACGTGCGTCTAGGTTGTATAGCCATATGTCTATGGCACAAGCGACCTGGTGACATCCCCATCACTTAGTGGTGAACGGCGGTTGTTGTTGCACACACGCATGGGACTGCGTGTGTGTGTGCGCTAGTGTAGCGGCTATAGCGCGCTACGCTACACCAGTAACGATTATATGAATGGTTCCTGGGCCTGCCCTTGGTACCTGGTGTGGTGTGTAAACATCGCCACTGGGGAGTCGAGGGCAGCCGGCAGTGGTATTAGCCACCCAACCCCTTTGTGTGCCACGAGCAGCACTTGCCCGAACAGTCTGTTAAAGGCTATATGGGGCATCTTTGTCTTTGCATCTGTCATTGTATGTGTTTTTAAACATGTGGCGAGTGGTAGTGTAGTGGTTAGTGCACTGCGTTACGAACCCAGTGACCCAAGTTCGATTCTAACAGCCAAAATCTGGGGTCCTAGGACTCCCTTATGTCAACACAGTTTCAATGGAGTATATGGCAGTGTTTACATATCAGCATCGGGGGAGATAAAGGCAGCCGGGCATGGTTTAGGCCACACCATTACTTTTTGTGCTGTTCTGACCTTAACAAGTGACTCATTTACAGCACATTATCCTGACAGTCTTAAAAATGCTACGGGGGGGGGGTATCTTTGCCTTTGTGTGTGTATATATACACTTGTATAGGCATGTCACTCTGTGTCTATGCACGTGTGCGTGCATCTGACCATGGGTGTGTGGTCAGATCTGGCGACCTCTAAGTGCCATCCGCCAGTCAACCCATAACAGCCGAGTCTGTCCCGTGACCTGTGGGCGAACCTTTGACCCTTCACGTGACCTTAGAGTGCATCTCGCCTGGCGCAAGGCTGTGGTGACATCAGCGTCACTTACTTGGTGAATGGGCAGCTGTTGTTGGATGTGCACCTCGGTTAAATGCGCGTCTGCACCACCGCCAATGCACCGTCGCCAACTGACTTGGGCAGTCACACACGGATCGTGGCAGGGCTGTTTGTTCTAAATTGAAAACTTGATTTCATTAGCAGAGCTGCTTTGTGTGTTAAGCGCTGTTGTCCTTCTCCCGCCCGGCACCTCCGATTAGCACGTTTGGCTACGTACTGTGCAAAAGAAGTTCAACGTAAAATAATAAAAATAAAACGTAATAAAATACTTTATTATGTTTTATTTTTATTATTTTATTATTTCCCTTCTACGTGACTTTACCGAAAGAACCAAGAAGATGAATCCCTGCAGTCACGAAAGCTTTAAATCGAAAAAAAAGTTCAACGTACATACGCGTGTTTGTATTTGCGTGCCAATCTGCGCGTGTCCATGTCTACCTTGCGTGTACTTGCACATGCCCGCGTCCCTGTGCCTGTGTTAATTTCGACGCGTGTGTACGTGTGTATACGTGTGCGTGCGATGCAGGCAGGGAAGTAAACGGGACCAGTTTGGACGAGCCAAACCCATCGGCAGAGGAGCAGCATGTGGGGAAGAGGAGGAGGGGGGCAACCCTTCACAAGTGTGGCCGTGTGTGTCGACAGCGAACATTTTCTTTCCGGCCTCACTCCACCTCCAGCTCATCGTCACAAGCGCCGCCGTCACGACCTCGCTTCCTGCGCTCGCTTGCGGGGCTGCTCAAATGCCGAGGAAGTGGGAGCTTCCGTTGATGATGAGAAAACCTTGTAACCATTTGTTCTGGGGGGGTTTTCCCCACAGCGCCCCCCTAAACACACACACACACACAACCTCCCCCCCCCACACACACACACACGTTGCTCCCCACGCAAAAGATGAAACTTGCAAGACTATTTGAATGCATATGAGAGGGGGGAGGGAAAAAACCAATAAAACATAATTTTTCATGAATGACAAACGGCAAGAATTTAACGGTATTTTATTTAGCCTGGCTGTTGTCGGTAATATTTTACGCGCCGAATTCTGCTTATCACCCCGCTTCTCCCCCCCCCCCCCCCTCTGTATTTTAAAGCAACAGTCGGGGTGTTTTCGTCTTATAATCCGGTATTCGCGTGCTTGTGTGCGTGCCAGATTTGTGTTACTCTATTGACATGCGGCAACACGTTTCGAGCGTGTCTTTACTTTCTGGAGAGCGTCTTTTAATTGCTAATCCCCTTAGAATACAGGTGGCCGTTTGTTGTTTTGGGCCATGCACTCATGCGGTAGGCGACATCGATGATTTTTTGTTTCGCGGCGTTCCGTTTTTTGCCACGAGTCGTCGCCGGGAAAGTCGCTTCGTTCCGTAGGCACCCCCTCGGGTTTTTTTTTGTCCAGCTTCCACATCCCCCCCCCCCGCCCCCAAGTCAACCCCCAAGTTGAACTCTTTCGGGAGCCTCCCCCTCCCGATTTCCTTTGTTTTCGTTTGACTGCGAGCGCAGTGTGAGATGCGGGCGCCATCCCACCCGCACTCGCGTTTTGCATCTTTAAGCGGATCGTGAACAAGAAGGCTTTGATTGTTTCTCCCACCGGATGAGTTGGTGGCATGGACAGGGTCAGTGTCTCCACTGGACAATAGATACACTGTTGAGGGCAGCCAGCATACTGCTTGCTTGCCTGGTGTAGCCTCTGAATTGAAAACCCATTTCTTTTTTTGTGTTTAGTTTGTTGTCCTTCCCCCGCACCTCCGTTGAGCACGATTGGTTATGTACGGTGTGGAAGAAGTTCAACATGCATACTTAGACTACTCGGACAGAGTCCCATATACTCACGCAGAGACCCATAGTTTGGTGTCCTTCCCGCGCACTTCCGATAAGCACGGTTGGATACGTACGGTGCGAAGAAGGTCAACATGCATACGTACACAGCTTCCTCATCTTTTTAAAGTTACTTTAGATCTGTTTGGTGTGCCGCAAGATTTTGTTACAGTCAACTATGAATTATCTGGGGTAATGGTTGTCGGGAGGGGGGGGGGGTGAAGATGTATGATGTGCCATCCTTTTTGCTTCTTTAAGTAATCGTTTTACTTTGCTGACGCGAGCAGTGGACGATTAGACCAGCGCTCGCTTCAACGTGCGAATGAGCACGGCTGATATGAGAATTGAGAGCTTATCCACCTTCATTTCTTATATTGTCATATTTCATCTTTTGTTTCGGGAGATTTCGCCTGAACATTATATGAGGTCCCTCGAGTGAACCCGTTGCCTGATTATTTTTTTTTTCCAATAAAGAAATCAAAGTACTGGTTCTGATTGACAGTTTAAAAGCTACAGTTTAAAAACCGCCATTGCAAGTTCACCACTTTAAATTCCCTCAGCCTTTTAAAAATTCATGATCGTCTTTTTTTGCTCTCTCTCTCTTTTGACATATCCTTATTGCCCCTCCCGCGTAGACATTCCCGTTAGGTTTCTCAGGCCCGTATCATCGATCTCTGTGAAAGTAAATATATCGGTCGGACACGATGCAATAAATTTAGCGGTTGCAAACAAAAAAAATCACCTTTCCCAGCACTTTCCTCGCTCTGTTTTACAGCTCACAGGAATACCGCCGTGCCACCGACAGCACGGTCATAGGTTTAGACGGACTAAAATGATATTCATTCTTGTTGTCCAAGTTTATCCTCATCATGCTCACGGTCTTCTTCTCAGCGTTGTGGCAAGCGCGTGCAAGATCACGCGTCCAAGTTGTTTAAGTCTGCGAGCCGCCGTGAAGTGGCCTCGTTAGTACGACGAACCCTGCTCGGCCCGCCGGAGAGCTGGCGTCGGGTGCAGTTCTTCACGGTACGGTGGTTCCATCGTTCCGGTTCGGATGGCCGCAGTCACACACTGTGTGGGTTGCCTTTAATTCTCCACGTGTCGAGGAGGAGAAGTTGTTGTTCTGAAGCGGTTGATGGAGCAGCGTAGTTTTCTTGGCAGATCAAAGCCATGCACCCGGTGGTCACGTGATGACACGGAGGGCCCAATTCGGACCTGTCGCAGGGCGGTTCGAAACCCTCCTCCGTGTGAGAGAACGGTTCACGGAAGCGGGTTTCACAGAGCTACCTCTGACATGCCCCTTCAAGGGACCTTTGACCTGCACAGTTGAGGGCTGCACTCTCCCCCCACCCCCCGCAACAGGACAAGAGGTCTAACTGAGAAACAGCAACAGCGTTGATGGCAGCGGCGAAACTGGCAGTGTTGCTTTTTGTGCTCCGTATCCAAATTCGACGGGGTCATTTTTTTTATTTGATTTTATTTCGTGCCACTTCACAAGACGCCCCCTGCAACCAGGGACGAGGAGCAGCTTGAACCTGGAGGATTGATCCGATGATCGATGGCCTGAGTAGCGAACACTTAAACAACGAAACCCCCCTCCCCACTCCCAAGCAATAATGAGAAGTAAAGTGCCAATTAAATGATAGATTCGTGGCTTCGAGATGGGGGCTCAAGAACTGCTGATTTAATCTGACGAGGGTTGTTGCACAGGAGGCTTAGCTGATGCTGGCTGCCCAGCACTGCAGTTGCATCGTCTCCGCGTGGCAGCGCTGTGAAAAATCCCGATTGTTTGTTTGCTTGCAGAGAAGTACACCACACGTGTAAGTCAGGAGTTGGGTGTCTGGGCGTTCCACGGAGGGCATCGGCATTCCTGGAGTCGACAAAAACTGCGCATTCTCTTGGCCAGCAGTGAAATTGTGGCATCGTGATTTTGGCAGTGTGTTGTTTGTACGTACGTTGACCTTCTTTAGCGCCGGTACACACGTAGCCCAACCGTGCTAATCGGAGGTGCGGGGGTGGGGGGGCAAACGTAACGACAGCAGCAGCTGCTGCTGCTGTGCGCGGCTTTAGTTAGGAAACTGTCACGTGACGTTAATGAAACGCGATGCTTGAGACACACTAGCCATGAAGAGGGCCGCGCTCGAAATTTAGATGATGGGGGGGGGGGGGTGCCGAAGTGAATAATGGCAGGCGACAAAGAAAAGCCGAGAAACTGCGAATTTCACGGACGCAATGATGACGTACTTTTTTTTCCCAAAAAAAAATTAGGCGAGTTAAATATTTTCACCTTTTTTGTTTGATTCTCCTCGAGGCATTGCGCACAACGAACTGGACGTTCGGAGTCCAAATGCGTTCGTTATGACAGTGGGCAGCCGTGTGACCTGTGCGCAGTCACTTGCCACGGATTGTGTTGCGTGCCACGTTGAGAATTTGTCATAAGGGGCCGTTCATAAATGACGTCACGCATCTGGCGGGGGGGGGGGGTCAGATTTTTGTGACGATGTGTGACGAAGGGGGGGGGGTGAGAAATGTGACGTCACATCAAAATGCGCAACTTTAAATACATATAGAATTGTTATAACAACACTCCTACAACATCAGAGTGCAGCGCCACATTAAATACGCACTACAATGACAATAGTTTAAAGCGATTTGAAGCATGTTTTATTTTGAAAATGGAAATATTTTTGGGGGGGGGGGCAGAGCATTGTGACGTCATATTTGAGGTGGTCTGACTTTTTGTGACGCCGTATGACGAGGGGGGGGGGAATCGTCCAAAATCGCGTGACGTCATTTATGGACGGCCTGTAATTTGTGAATGAGCCATAATCCCACCCACGGGAAATGTTCCACACGAACATGTTATAAAACAGATACAATTGTTTCGCGTACAGCCGTAAAGCTTTTAACTCTTTTTGTTTGCACAAATTGACGACCTTTGTGAGCCTTATTGTGAACTGTTCAATAACGATTGATCGCAGTGATTGAACGGCGACATTGCAATTAACGGCGCTTGTCATGAACATTGTTCATTCTTCTGTTTTCATTTCGCGAGTTTACATCCACCATATTAAAACCTCGTGTGAATTTTTTTTAATTATTATTATCGCGTATAGGCATACGCATTTCTGTTTGTTCGTTTTCACACCACCAATACCATCAGCACCACAACGCGGACGGTGATGCGGACAAGCGGTAAGCGAGTTCGCCGCTCGTTGCAGAGAAATCCAACGGTTCAACTCCAGCGGCCGCCCTGATTAATACTGCGGGGTATATTCATAATAATCTGACGCGCCACCTTGCTTCACAGTTTCAGTTCAGTTTCAGTTATTAGGTAATGCCCTGTGAGCCATGCGGCTCTTGACTCGGGTGCAACCGCAACAAACAAAAACATGAACAAAGAACATCTTAAAGTGACAGTGGCCACTGTTAGAGAGCTTGTGCCGTCATTTGTCCATGAACACTTGACCTATGCCTGGTACAATGACCGGCATAATTACGGTGAAGCTCCTTGTAGCCACTATGGTCATCGGCATAATTGTATTTCAAACGTTGCACAGCATCACAGCTTATACAGAGCTGGCCATTGTGAGTCTGAAGATGACCGACATGAACTCAAGACATTTTTTTATGTCTCGCTGCCCAAATGAACCAGGGGGGGTGGTGGTAAGAGTTTCTCTCCGATGGTGTCCCTGTGCCATTGGTGAAAATTCCACATTCGTATGGCAGACGCATTTTTGATTCCCCACAGACACTTCGCTATTGCATTTGGCCCCGGAAGGATGATGAGGGGTGCCGCCAACCAATCACGGGTGTGAATGCTCTGACCAATTTGCCATCTGGCCGGATATAATTTCACTCGGACAAACACGGACGCACGTGCAATCGCGCGCACATTATCTGTCTGCATCATATTGCATTAATCTACAAACACGAGAACTAAAACCATATCCTTTACCTTTGCATGAGGAGTTGCATCGTCTCGAACCATTACGTCTTCCTTTCCTCCTCCCACGCTAGGGTGAACAAGTCTGTGCATTGATTTTTGCAGCTCAGATTACAGTTCTTCGATTCTCTGGCTTACCTTATTGATGTGGCAACTGCGTGTGGGTGTGTGCGTGCGAATTCAGTAAACGGCGTTGCATTTGCTGGGTCATGTTGCCGGCATGCCCAGCCACCGTTTGCCCAAGCAGCTTGTGTTTGGTCATGTCGAGGAGGACAAACGAGGGTGTGGCAAGGATTGGAGAGGACTGAAAGCTTTCGTGACTGCAGGAATTCATATTACTTGGGATCTTTCGGTAAAGTCACGTTTGAAAGACCCAAGAGGAGAGGAGATGTACTGATGTAGTACCGGAGGACATGCAGTTGATGGGACTTGTCGAGGACTGGTATAAGCGGTGTCAAGATCAGCCTCTGTGGAGGAAGCTCGTGAAATATGTTTTTTTGCACAGTTCTGGGCAGTTGCCCTCCAACAACAACAGAGGGCGGAGGAGCGGTGCTCACAACAGTGAGAGGAGAGCCATGCGGATGAAATGCGACTAGTTGGGCACAGGGGGGGAGCGTAAGTCGTGCATCTGCCAGTCATCTGTCAACCCACAACACCTGGCGCTGCCCTGTGTCATGCCATAGAGCATTCACCACTTCATGTGGCCTCAAAGTGCACCTAGCCTGGCACGATTATCATGATCATGGCAGCATCATGGTTACAGAGTGGAAATTACAACTGTTGTTGCTCTTTGCAAGGGGTGAAGTCGAACGGATACCTGCTGTGGAATTTCCATGGTGTTTGTGTCACGGAAGCTCAAGACAACGGGCTGGGTATTCTTTGGGTCTTTCGGTAAAATCGCGTAGATAGGTTCAAAGAAAATATGAAAAAATTACAAAAAAAACTACGATCGCAACAAGCGGTCGTCATCTTCCTGATGACGGTCGCTTGTGTTGCGATCGACACGTAGTTTTTTGTTATTTTTTAAAATTTTCTTTGAACCTAATTTACGTGGCTTTACCGAAATACCCAAAGAATGAATTCCTGCAGTCACGAAAGCTTTAAGTCAACATTTAATGGGCTGGGTGTTGGATTACCCGTGGACGTGTGAATGAGATATGTGCCCACCTATGAGCAAGCATCCACATGCGACCATTGTTCAGTGCCTCAATCTGATGGCAATGGTGATGGAGGTGCTACTGGTAAAAACAATTGTAGTATTCCTTTATTCACAAAATCCCTTTATCTGCATTTTTTTTTATTTGCAATTGTGAGTACTGACCCGGTGGTCAATTTCACGCTACCATTATCTCACAGCAAATCATGGGGGCCTGCATTGGTAGTGTTGGCAATCGCCTCCTAAAATTCTCGTGTGAGACTGGGAGAGAGGTGTGCTGCTTTACGGACCTTGCTGTACGATCAGCACGGAGTTAATGAATCAATCATTCTTCGCCACTGCCCTTGCCGCATTACGCACCACGTTAACCGCACGCTTAACTTCTA